ACATATTTGTTTTATGTCAGCAGACTAGGCTTCTTTTAGAATTATTGGCTGTGTCTTAGCAAAAATGCATGCCATGTGCTGAAATAGCAATGCTCTCTTTACTGAAGCAGCACAACTGTGTCTTGCCAACATCTCAGGAACTCCATCAGTTTACAGAGTACCAAATTTTGCTAAGCAAAAATCTTTATTATTACAAAGACAGTGGTTTTCAGTTTTTTTAAAAAAGGGGGGATCACAACATAGGAATTCTTTGATGGTGTCAATGTGAAAATAATGATTTAAATCTGATGCTGGCTACTCTAAGCATCACTCGTATTTTCACCCTGTTGAATGTTAAAGGAAAGTCACTGTTGATGTCTCTATGAATTCCAAATGTGAAGAAATGTCACCAGTTCTAATGCAGCTGATGTCATCTGACAGAGGCATTGCTTCAGTTTTCTCTCTCTGCTGTAAAATAAACCAGCCCAGTAATGTCCAAAATTCTCAGCTTCACCAAGGGGTCTTCAATTACACATAACTTTTGTGGCTGGGTAGCACAATAAGCAAATGAATAGGATGCCTCAAGATAAAGCTCTTTTTGCCAAATCCAGCTTCTAACCTTTTCAATTTAAGCTTCCCTATAATGAAAGAACCACATTTTTCCAATGGCTATTAAGGACTGACAGAATTTCACACCCATAGGTTGGGATAAATATAAAACAAGAGAAACCTAAGCTATAACATACTATCTATTCACATTTTCAAACTAAACTATGTCAAATTCAGTGGTCTATGGTCATAATGGCAGAGCATATCTTTAAATTCTTAACAGGAATTTAATACAGATACATATTGTAATATAGTAACAATGATGGTTATATATTACCTTACCATGTACAGTAGCATCCCATGCCATTCTATTCTTATTTGTCATGAAATACACCTTAACATATTTTGACAGATACAAAAAATTACTTTGTTAAATTGGCTTTCTTCCTATAAAGAAAGGAAAACATTACACATCTGGTTTAAAAATCTGATGAAGTTTTAATTTAGGAATGTCATACAGAGACAAAAAATATTTGTTCACTTTAACTGAATTCTAAATTCAAATAACTATTGATGTGACATTTTATCTAAAGGAATATCAGTGTGGATTTGAAGAAAAATAAAAACTCTTAAAAAGTTATATATTCTCTTATCCCCTCATTCCATCCATTTTTCATTCATACGTTGATTTTGAGCTACATTGGTGGTCCTTAACCTTGACTATATGTTACAATCACCTCAGAAGCTCTTAAGTCCTAATGACTGAACTCCACCCCAGTCCAATTAGATCTAAATCCCCTGGAGTAGACCTGAAAATTTTTTTTTTTCCTTTTTGTCTTTTTTCGTGTCCGGCAATGGATCGCAACCCTCAGTGTTGCGCCCGTACCGGACCGGGACCGGCAACGGGATCGCAACCCTCGGTGCTGCGCCCACACCTCGCTCAGCCAGTGAGCAGGAACCGGTCTGTATGTGGGATCCGAACCCTCGGCGGGAGCGCCGCCGCACTCCCAAGCGGCGCACTGTAGCAGTGCGCCACTGGGCCGGCCCGTGAAAATTTTTTTAATGCCTCCATGATTCTAATATTCAGCTAGGGTTAAGAACCACTAAGCCAAATAAACTAACCATAGATACTGTTCTTTAAAAGCTTATACTATAGTGTACATGAGTGTGCATATATTCTTGGAAACCAGGTATTCAGAGATGAATAAAATGTTCCTCTCAATGCAAAGAAGACATTTTAATGTATCTTCAAACTACCTTATGACAGACACATGCTTAGAGTGCTACAACAACACAGAAGAGGTACATCTGATCTAATGATGGGAGGATGGTTAGGTAGAGAGGTACTGAAGATTTCTGAAGGAGGTAATAAATGGATAAGTAGGAATTTACAAGGAAAAGGACAGTGGAGAGAAAACCCAGGCACCAAGCATAGGGGATAATAAAAGCAAAGAGAGAGGTAGGAAACAACAAGGTTGAAACAGAAAATCACTCACAGTTTGGTGTTCCCAATAAAGTACTAAAAATGAAAGGAAGGAAGAATAAGAAACTTTGGCAGAGAAAGAACATGGACGTCTTCACATGCTATATTAAAGAGCTTGAACTTTATTAATCCTGTGGGTGATGAGCAGTCGGTGATATGTTAAGCATGGGAAAGACATGGTCAAGCTGTATTATGAACAGATCTCTGAAATCATGAGGAAGAGAGATAATAGCTAACATGAACTGAGCACTTACCATGCACCAGGCAGTGTGTGCAGAGCACTTCACATTGTCTTCACTAATCCTCCCTCCACCATAACTATAGTACCTTTATTTTACAAATTGGTAACTTGCCCAAGTCACATAGTTATTAAAAGATAAAGAAGGGATTCAAACAGTTCTGACCCCTGAAGCCTAGGCCTCTAGGATGGATGTACTGAGAGGAACAAAGTGAGAAGCAGCAGAGGCTACAGGCTGATATATTAGTTAGGAAACATTATCCAACATGAAAGACAAATAGGGCAATGGCAGTAGTATGGAGACAAGGGAACAGATTGCATAAATATTTATGAATTTTAAAAATTATCAAAATCACATGATTCAGCCTTAAGGAATGAAATTCTGACACATGCTACAATATCATTGAACCTTGAAACATTATGCTAAGTGAAGGAAGCCAGTCACGAAAGGACAAATATTGTACTATTCCATTTATAAGGTACCCAGAATAGCCACATCCATAGAGAGAGAAGACAGAAAAGAAGTTATAAGGGGCTGAATCAAAAATTGTCAGGAATATATTTTACGAAAGAGTAAGAATGTTAAACCTATATAGATCCTTACCTCTTAAACCTACATAGATCCTTAAGATCTCTGGTAGTCAACAACACAGGAAAAGTAAACAAGTATAGCTAATTGCAACTTGCTCTAAGCTACTTATAAAAAATAAAAACTACTTATAAATTTTTTAAAATTAGAACAGTGTAAACTTACCAGATTGCTAACTATTTTAAAGGTATATTACAGTAAATAAAAATTTTATAAGGTAAATTCTCGCATGTTTCAATTGTCATGTTTTAGATATAAACCTATTTTAAAACCAACAGAAAAGTTATATGAAAAGTTACCCAATATATAATAAGCCCATAAAGCATAATAGCACTAAGCTAAAGCCTACTATGGTGCCAGAAACATTAAATACTCTCTTTATATATATATATATATATATGTATCTATCTATCTATATATAGATAGATAGATAGATACATATATAGATAGATAGATACGTATATATATAGATAGATACATATATATATGTATATATATACACATTTCATCTCTGATAATTCTAAAAATTATAAGGTTGGTATTATACCCCATTTACAGATTACAACTGAACTTCAGAGAGTAACGTGACCTAGCTTATTAGTAGTGAATCTGGAATTTGAACCTACTGCAGCTTCAAAGCTCAAGCTCTCAACCACTACCCCCTCGACAATCCTTAATTAATATCCCTTACTAATCTATTTCCCCATATCAGAAAAAGTACACTATGACATCTAATGCATAGTGGTAAAATAAGTCCTTGACTCATCACACCAAAAATCTGCAAAGTTCATAAGGAATCCAGGAGAAAAATGCCTTTAAAAGCTGTAAGTGTTAAAAACACTTATTTTAAATTTATAGTTATTTTTACCTTAAAATCAAATGTTTCATAATTATTAGTTTAGCCTACATTATATATTATGTGGAAAATATCATGAAAAAAAATCAAAAACACACACTTTAATCCATTTTAATCTTAATTTTTTCTTTTTACCGAAACTAAAAACAGACTTGTTAAAAGATCTCAAACAGGTTTCATGAAACACTCTAAAACAGGACAAATAGTTTCAGAGAGTCATCTTCTTTGTTCATGGTCATTTGCTATACCTATGTCTTTCCCCTGCCTAGGAAATTTAAAATATTCTGAAAATAAAATGCTAAGGTGGCACTTAACTGTCTACTACTACAGATTTGTACAGTGGTTCCAGAGGATAACTAAACCATTAGCTGAAGCATAAACCTTTAATTATTTGTCACATCACTAAATTGTATAAATGGAATTAAGCATAGAACATTTTACATTTGTAAAAAAAATACTGTAATTTCTTTTTATTTTTACAATCAAAAATCAAAAACATGAATATTTTTGCCATCACTATGAATTCCTTGGAAATTAATAACTCAGACCTATTTTCCGTATGGAAAGTTAATTAGAAGCTTTTTACTGATTTGAATTCCAAAGGAAGTAAAACTAGTATTTTAGTAGGCAGGGGAAAACATTACCAGCAAGATAACTCCATGTAGGGAAAACTTTCATATGGGAGTTCAGAAAAATTAGGTAGAACAAGAAAAAAAAAATACTTTGGACTTCTTTTGTATATTAAGTATGACAATGAATTATCTCAAAATATTCGTTAAATTACTGGGATGGATTTATGGGTCTTTTAAATTTTATCTGCAGACAAAAACAATTCTCACAATGAAAGGGAGAGGTAAAATAGATTACCTTAAAATAAATGCATTTTTCTTTAAAGAAGTATTCTAATTCTGTACTTAAAGTTTAGAATTGCTGAGCATGAATACTTTAAGAACTGATGTTTATTAAAAACAAAAAAGGGGGCCGGCCCGGTGGCGCACTGCGCTAGTGCGCCGCTTGGGAAGCGCGGTTGCGCTCCCGCCGAGGGTTCGGATCCCACATACGGACCGGTTCCCGCTCACTGGCTGAGCGAGGCGCGGGGGCAACACCGAGGGTTGCGATCCCGTTGCCGGTCCCGGTCCGGTACAGGGGTGACACTGAGGGTTGCGATCCGTTGCCGGACACAGAAAAAGACAAAAAAAAAAAAAAAGAAACTATCTTCTAAAGGAAAAATATATAATAATTCTGATTAACCTTAAAGCTTAACAACACTCAGGATGTCTACTCACTGTCCCCTAATACCAATAAGCTGAATATAGGACTATACCTTCTCTGACACAGGTAGGCTGTTGGGTTCCTCTATACTTCCTGGTTGCTTTACAGAATCACATCCGTACATCTTATTCTTAAGAACATGAAGCTGAACATCAGTCATGTGCTGGTGGAGAGCCCCCTGAGGGCCAGTGGGGAGGGGCCCATGAGGCAGCTTTTGAGTCATGCTAGCTGAAACACTGAATTCCATATTAGAATCTCTTTGAGAGACCTGTAAGGAAAATCCAACACCTGGAAGACTGGCATACTGAGAGCTTTCCTGCTGACTCAACAAAGCTTCAGACATGATTTTATGCTCATTTCCAGGAGGTACAAAAATATCACTGGTGGAATTTTCTAACTGTTTCCTATTGACTGGCCCAGCAAGTAGAACTGTGGGTTGCTGCAGCACAGCTTCCATTCTCTGTGATTTTTCAGTAGTTGCTTGATAAGAACATGGGCTCAATCGTGGAACACCGGTCTGTATTATTGGAGGCTGTCCAAGCTGCTGAAATACTTGCTGAATTGGATGCTGAAGAACACTTGCTCTTCCAGAAGTCTGTGTCACCACAATTGGTACATTGACTTTATAAAGGTGACCTTAAAAAGGAGAAAAAACAAAACAGTAAGTATAAGAGAATTCTAATTTCCTTCAAAAAAAAAAATCTTTTGGGCCGGCCTGTGGCTCACTCGGGAGAGTGCGGTGCTGATAACACCAAGGCCCCGGGTTCGGATCCCACATAGGGATGGCCGGTTGGCTCACTGGCTGAGCGTGGTGCTGACAACACCAAGTCAAGGGTTAAGATCCCCTTACAGGTCATCTTTAAAAAAAAAAAAAAAAAATCTTTTTTATACATTTTCTACAATAAATACATATTACTCATCTTTTAAAATTATATCTGTTTTGCTTTAACTCTAAACCTTTTGCCACTATTGCTTATATGGCGCATTTTTGATACACACAGGCCACCAATATTTAATCTGTGAACCTCTCCCATTATTTGATAAATTAATGTTATCAACCCAAAATGGGATTTTAACAAACATATTCATATAAAATGTATTGCATATATATAAGATACCATATAATGACTACAACACAAGGCTATCCAAAAAAGTTTAATAATTTCAAAAGTTAATAAATTTCTTCTCGTTCTTTCCTTAAAAATACTGAAAAAGGAGAAAAAAGAAATTTATTTTTGAGCATTGAGTTAGGTGCTTCACTTAAACTTTTCAACAATCCAAAAAATAGGTGTGATCCTCTTTCAAATCAAGAGACAGTATCCTAAAAAGCAGAGGTTGGTTAACCTGCAAACTTTTGGATGCATTTTCTATTATACAAAGCAATCTCCAATAAGAAAAGAGGCAGAGCCTGATCAACCTAATCTTCAGTTTTCCTTGATTACAGCTAGCAGGGATACATATGTTATTTTATTTGTATTTGTTAAAATTTAGATAATTGAATTAGAAAAAAATATACAAAGCATCTTATAAAATGTTAGGAAAGAGAATTAGGAATAAATACAGAACAGACCTAGTACAATGTCTTTTGTGGTAGACTGCCTCAATAACAATAACAACCATCATTTATTATTACTTTTAAAATAGGTTTTATTAAAGTTCCTATAACTTCTGGTGCAGTTTATTAAAAATTATAAAACTTAATGTCCACAAGGTAGTGCCAGTACTAAAAACAAAATATTCTTAGAATATACTCTCACCAGATGCAGTCTGTAGCGTCACACCTGCTGGTACATGAATAGGATAACCAGGAAAAGTAAAGTTTCCACTGGCATTTGAGGTGCCCTAGATATAAGAAATTTATATTAGAAAGTCAGAAAAGGATTCTACTTGTATCTTTTTTTCCCTGATCTCATAGGAGATCAAAAAATCTGATTCCAGGGCCGAGCCTGTGGCGCACTGGGGAGAGTGCGGCGCTGGGAGCGCAGCAGCGCTCCCACCGCGGGTTCAGATCCTATATAGGGATGACCAGTGCACTCACAGTGCTCACTGGCTGAGCGCGGTGCGGCCAGTCTCAAAAAAAAAAATCTGATTCCAGACAACAGGACAATAATTTGGTTAAGATTCAACATTACGTCTGAGTTCTCTGAATACAGCAGCTTTTTAATATTTGATTTAGATCATCCCACTAAGAATCAAAAGAAATTCTGTTCTACAATTTTAGCAATGAAGCCAGTAAGTCATAATAAACAGTATGAACCCTGACTCATAAAACTTGCCCAACACATGGCTTTGCCTGGGCCGTTGATTCTCAAAGTGTCAAATACAAGAACGACAGCTATTTATAAGAGTCATCTAATCTCTAAGTTGATCACTAATGATATTTTAAAGTAGGTAATGTAATAGTGTATAATTTTTATTTTGGAATAATTTACCCATAGGGTTTTAAGATAAAAAACACAAAATCAAAAGACAAGGAAATGTTTTTGCCTATCAGATCTTCAAGACAGATAAATAACACCCAGTGCTGGTGAGAATGTGATAAAAACACGTTCTCTCAGACCACTACTTGTATGAGTATATATATTAGTACAATCCTTTTAGAGGACAATTTTGGAATACTTAACAAAATTGAAAACATGTATGACCCTTAGTCCAGAAATTCTACTAGAAATTTATACTATCACGCATATACACAGAGACATATGTACAAATATAGTCAATGGAATGCTATATTAGGAAAAAAGAAAACTCAAAATAATTTAAATGTCCACCAACAAAAGACTGGTTAATTAAACTGTGTTATGTCCACTAAGGCAAATCTATATTTACTGGCATTGAAAGAAGTACATGATTTTAAAAAAAGAAATTACAGAAATAGTAAAGAAAGCAATCCTACTTTTTACCCTAGCAAGTAATATAACTTTCATAAAAGAAGTCTAGATGGATATACATCAAACAGTTAAAACAGTTATCTTTGGGGTATAAGACTGCAGGGCTCTTTCACATTTTACATTACAAATGTGTTTTTACTTTTACAATTATAATATTTCTATAATCAGGAAAAAAGACATTTCCATGAATTTCAAAGGCATAGATATTTCTTCATCGGTCTCATCAAAAGCAGCACCATTCTTTCCAAAAATACTGATGAGAGGTGTGGTTTTTGTTTGTTCTTCACCAAGAAATAAATAGCTGTTTCACTAAAACTTATACCACAGAAAGGTAGCCCATGGGCTAAAAGAAAATAAAAACTAGTTAGTAGTTTTTATATACCATCAGTAAACAATACCATGGAAGAAAGATAAAAGTACTATTCTTCCCCATCTGAAAAACTACTTGATTTTCTATGTATAAGTTGTAATTTTATTCCCCGCCTCCAAGTCCTAGGGGGAACGAATAAAGAAACTACTTCACAAAGGCAGAAAATGATCAAAATGTTCTGCTTAAAGTAAAAACTACGATGTCACTCAACTCCGAAGGGGGAAAAAAATCAGAAAAAATACCAGATCAAAATTATCTATTTAGGATCCACCAAGTGTATAATATTACGTAGTTTATTAAAAACCTCACACAACATAACTTCATAAATTTCCTAATCTGGTAGGTACAGTCTTGGCAGATGCTAACAACTTCCTGGAATATAGTATATTTGGTAAGAAAATGTTAATTCTGGAAATCCTGAGTTTTTGCTACATCTATGTTATAGAAGGTATTCCGATCTCCCCATTCCTTACCACATCTTTTCCCATTCAACTGGAGTATTATGAATTACATCTATGCCCAGCATTCTACCAACATTCACTAAAAGTGAGGCAAATCTTTTAAAATATATTCTGAATAAGCTACATACCAGTTCTGCTGAGGTAAAACCTGGAAGAGATCTACCAGCAGGAATAACTAATGATGCTGCATAAAAAAAAATAAATATTATACATTCATTAGAATTTACCAATTTAATAAAATTGCTTAGTGTGTTTTGTTTTGTTTCTAATATTGTCGATCACTAACGTGTTGGACCATGGTAAATTCTAAACTTCCTGATTCCAAGTGAGATAAAAATATTTAATTACATTTTTGGCAACAACTTTAGGTAATGACTTTATAATTAAACTACTTTAAGTACCAAAAGAAAATATCGCATTGTAATCAAGTATACCATACTTTAAAAATCCCTAACAAAACACCTAGATTGTCTTTAGTAAACCAATGTAGCACTAAATCTCCATTACAACTTTTTATTGGGGAGAAAAAATAATATTTGTTAAAGTGACATATTTCCAACAGACTATACTATTGAGCAAAAATATGTAGCTCAAAATAAACCCATTCTAAATTTTATAGGTTCAAAGTAAATTTCAATTCATTCATTTCATGAAAAGTAAGAGTATTTTGGCCTAGCAAGCAAGCACAACTACACCAATTAAAGAACAAATGAACAAGAACATGTCTCCTAAAGTCTCTGCAAGGAAACAAGTACAACTGCTAAGAAAAATGAGAACAAATTCTCAGAATTCCAACTCAACCTGCATTAAAGCTGCAATCCCATACATCTTTCCTTTACTATCTGCCAATTTTCTATGCTAACCATCCTTTGTTTATAATACATCTAAAAGATTGAACAACTGGTTGTAATCTATCATTATAAAATAAGTATAAAGAACAAATAGTAGCTTCAGTAGAAGGATCTCAGTTTATCAATGCAACCATAAACCTTAAATGCTCAAGGTTCATTTTACCTAGCTGAAGATGACCATTAGAACATCATTCTGCCTTTTCTTTAATAAAAACACGAACTTTTTAGCGTTTTTATGCATGCATATGTATTAATTTAATGTTTATTATGTCCTGTTTTTCATATACTGCATAAGGAAAATTGACCCAAAGATCAGTTTCTGACACTAGAATGGCTCTCTCATATACTCACACAACAAATAGCTCAGAAGAGCAAACATTTAAACTAACCATTCTTCCCACATAAGACTAATAAAAATGAGACTGCAGATTGATGGTTAATGAAGCACAGAATTATTTTTATCCTCTGTTCATCTATGGCTTTGCTTATTAACAGACATTCTTTTAGAAAAGCTAAATTAGAAAGAATTGGAGTGGCAGAAACACAATAGTATTAGTCTTAATTAGCTGAAGTGAGCAAAACTTAAGCTGCTACAGCTTAAGCCACAGCCTGAGAGGAAACAAAAATCTGTTAACACACTGTCTAAAGCAATTAAATGAATTTCTGGAGGAAAAATAGCAACAATCATTCTGTTTTAAATACCTTGCAATAAATCCTGAAGGATAATTCTCTATATTTAAAGAAATCAAACAGAACTATAAGAGAGTTTTTAAAGTTGTTTTATAGACATCAGAATAAAAGCACTGAGTTTTCTAGTAAAGCTTCATACAGCTCCTACTTAATTTTGATACTAAATTCACAAGTTATATGTACTATTTATATATGTTCGTAAGTTACACCTACCACTAAATGTGCATGAAACACATTTTTTAAATATTCAATATGGTTTTAATAGCCAGTTAAGTTTTAACTGAATATGTGTTTTTATTCAAACTGAAAGTGTCATAATTTTGGTATACATGTATATATTCGAGAAATATTAAATTTCACAAACAATAAATCTTATAATAGAGCAAGAATTCAATCCCATGAACATAATTTAAGAAATTTATAATATGGCATAACAATATTCACATTTATAAGTGTATTTATTCCTACCCACCATTAAAAATTCTTTGATATGTTGTGACAGGTAATAGTCTCATGATTCTTGGTCCTGCTTTGAACCATTCCAAATCTTAATATCCAAGTCACATAATTCAAGAACTGCAAAGACTGGTGAATTTCTTCTTCTTTGTGACTACTCATTAACATATAAATATCTCCTGAGGACCAAACTGAATATTCTGACCTTCATACCACCTAAAGAACCAACAATATTGCTGAAATTTTCACCAGATCTAAGTTCAAGAACAATTGAGCATATAGTTTATACCGATATTTTAGGAGTTTTAATGCTCAAAAATGAAAGCCACCACAAACCTCTCAGTGTTCCTGTTCTGCCCTTCCTTTTCATAATGACTGATGGTTTCATTAAAAAGACCGTGTAACATGAAGACCAGACAGCAGAAGCTGGTTTGATGTCCCCTAGAAATAAGGTAATCATAAGGTGACTACCCGTCCCAGTTTGCCCAGGACAATTTGAGTTTATACCTGCTATTATGAGGTAATAATTAATAGTATTCCATTTATCTCTCAAAAATAAATTATGTCATATATAATATATAATAATATATAAAATTATATATAATAATATATATAATTTATAATAATATAAATTATAATAAAATATACAAATATAATTTATATATAAATATATATGTTTTATATATATAATAAATATATAAATTTAAATATATAATAAAATATAAATAATAATTATATATATATTATTATATATACCCTAAATATAGAACAGTTCTCAGAATATAATGTGAAAACCCCTGGGGGTCCCCCTAAGACCCTTTCATGGTATTCATGAGTTCAATATTACTTTCATTAAAAAAAAAAAAAAAAACCAAGACAATATATGCCTTTTTCATTTCTCACTAATATTTTCTGTTCTATTTTGTCGATGATGTGAAAGCAATAATAAGTAAAACTGCAGGCACCTTAGCATTAATTAAGGCAGTAGCACAATACCTTGCTAGTGGTCATTGTACTTAACACTCACTCACTGTAAAAAGAAAGAAAAAAAACAGCAGCAATAACAAAAAAAAACTGATTCACATAAGAAAGTCTTTGATATAAGCTAAGAATTATTAATTACACTAAATTTCAACTAGCAAGTATACTTCTTTTTAATATTGTATGAGATGAAATGGGAACAATACGTAAAGCATACAGAAGTATGAGAAAAAGCATTTGGGCTATTGTTTAAGTTGGGAGTTGACCTAGCCTCTTTTTTTCAAGAAACATCATTTCTACTTGAAAGTATAACTGAGAAACTATAGTTATTCTTAATTGGGTAATTGGCAGACTTTTGAAAATGAACTAAGCATGGCCATTACTTCTAGAAAAACAAACTGACAATATTTGTTGCCAATGATAAATTTTTCCTTGAAACCTTGAATTTTAATTTTGGAAAACTTATACCTTCCACAATGAATGGAATGCATAGTGATATTAATGAATATGACTTTTTTATCTTGTATAATAATGTTTTAACCGGATAATTCAGTGAACCAATATTTTCCAAATAACCAACATATACTACAAAGTTATCCATGGCTTAAAGAGCCACTCAAAGGGCAAGTTACACCAAGGAACGCTAACATAACATTCGAAAAATTCTGTGATATGGTTTCAAATTCAACACTGCAGCTACTCTCTAAGAAACTACCACTTGTTGAGTTTTAATGTAGTATGAAATTATGAAATGTAGTATGAAAGTATGAAAATGCTATTAAAATACTCCTCCCTTTTCCAATTATATATCTGTAAAAGGCTGGGGCTTTCTTCATATACTTTAACAAAAACAATGTATCACAACAGATTGAATTTAGAAATAGATATGAGAAAAAAAAAAGAGTTTGAAGTATTAATTAAAAACCTCCCTGGGAAGGAGGAAGGGAAGGTGGGCCAGAGAGAAATTGGTTGAACACAAAGAATGATTACACTTTGCAATAATGAATATGATAATTATCCTGATTTGATCACATATTGTACATAAGTATTGGTAGTCAACTCTGTACCCCACAAATATGTATTACCAATTAAGTTTCAATAAAATAAAATTTTTTAATACAAAAACCAAAACAAAAAACCTCCCAACAAAGAAAAGCCCAGGACCAGATGACTTCATGGCTAAATTCTACCAAACATTCAAAGAAGAATTAATACTAATCCTTCTTATAATCCTCCAAAAAACAGAATAACAGGGAACTTCCAAACACATTTTATGAGGCCAGCATCACCTTGCTATCAGGGCCAGACAACGACACCACAAGAAAAGAAAACTATAGGCCAATATCTCTGAATGTTGATGTAAAAATCTTCAATAAAATACTAGCAAACTGGGCCGGCCCGGTGGCACGCTGGATAGTGCGCCGCTTGGGAAGCGCGGTGGCGCTCCCGCCCAAGGGTTCGGATCCCACATACAGACCGGTTCCCGCTCACTGGCTGAGCGAGGCGCGGGAGCAACACCGAGGGTTGCAATCCCGTTGCCGGTCCCCGATCCGGTACGGGGGCAACACTGAGGGTTGCGATCCGTTGCCAGACACGGAAAAAGACAAAAAGACAAAAAAAAAAAAAAATACTAGCAAACTTACTTCAACAACACATCAAAAAGACCATACATCATGATCAAGCAGGATTTATCTCTAGCATGAAAGGCTGCTTTATTATATGCAAATCAATGTGATACATCACACTAAAAGAATGAAAGATAAGAACATCATGATGCTTCAATTGATGCAGAAAAAGCATTTGACAAAATTCAATATCCTTTCTTGATTTAAAAAAATTGTCAGCTATTAGGTATGGAAGGAAATTTCCTCAACCTAATAAAGGCCATATATAAAAACCCCACAACTAACATCATGATCAATGAAAACTTTCAGTTTTTCCTCTAAAATCTGGTACAAGGCAAGGATTCCCACTCTTACCATTTCTGTTCAGCATAGACCTAGAAGTACTAGCAAGAGCAATCAGACAAGAAAAAAAAATAGAAGGTATATAAACAGGAAAGTAAGAAGTAAAATTATCCCTATTTGCAGATGGCATGGTCCTATATGTTTCTACATCCCAAAGGTGTAAAACACCAAAGATTACACACACACACACACACAGTTAGAAATAACAAATTAAGTCAGTAAAGTTGCAGGATACAAAA